ATATGGAACGCTCTTTCTCTATTCTCATTCCATGCTGTTTGTGTAGCAATGCAACACTGGAAGAGAACCAAGATGTTAGGTGGCTGAAGCCTGTGACATACAAGGAGAGGCTGGGTTTGTTCGGTGTGAAGGGGGAATGTTGCTTTCATCACCCCTTTAATGGATGGTTATAGAGAACACAGAGCCAGACTGTGCTTGAAGCCCTACAGCAAATGGAAATGGAGGGAAGATGCAGTAAGGAAAAATTCCATTAGTTGGAAAGAAAAAAGGCTTTGAAATAACTAGCTGAGTACTTCAACAGGGGACCAGATGTTGTGGAATATCTGTCTTGAGGTGGGTTTCCCACTGTCCAAAAGTAGTACTGCTCTGAACAAGGATATACCAAATGATACCGTACCAACCTCAGCTACTCTGATTTTTGTCACTTCCCAACAACCTTGCTCCTGCTCATATTTACAGAGTATTGAGAGACCAGATAACTCTACGAAGCAGAAGTGACTAGGAAAGTAGTGGGGCAGCCATTTGCAGGCTCACAAGCTTTTCCTTATTACCTGTGCTGAACTTGTGAATAACACATAATTACCTAATCAGATACAGCTCTCCCCTGTTCTTTTCCATTTCTTCCTTGCTGAAAGCAAATGATGTTTTTTGGGTGACATAATTTTAAGATGTTCCTGCTTGCCTGTCCTCCTTTTTCTTGCTATTTGTTAACATGGATCACGACAGATATAACACATCTCCAAAATCACTGGCAAGTGGAAGCTTTAGAAGTGTCTTAGAGCCAGATAGCGATAAAATTAAAAAAAAAAAAAAATTTAAAAAAAAAAAAAAGGAACCTTAGCACATATGGGACAAAAGGCAATATAAGGTAGCTTGTGTCCATGATAAATAATATATTATCTCATGTGCTGTGGAAGAGGATTTTTCAGTTTATTCCTAACAGCTCTTCTTTTTTGGTGATACTGTTAAATCCAGTTTTTTTTTTTTTTTTTTTTTTCAATCTTTAGACAGTTTTCTAGGTAGGGGTGAGACAGACAGTATCTAATATGGCTCGACAGCCAAGAGCCGTGGGTTTTTGCTAATGGGCCGACCCTTTATCTATAAAGGAGCCTTGGGAGGTTGTATTTTTAGGAAAAGTTTACTGGAGTTTGCTTTCCTTTTCACTGTAATTAATTCCATGTTTCACTGCATATCATGTTACTGTCCGCTAGCAGTTTGGCAAGGTTTGCTTCTGACTCCTGCAGGACTTCTGAGCAGTCTCTTGGGTAACATATTGACGTTGGCAGAGGGTTTGCAGTCGTCTTCTGTCTCATTTCTGAAAGCACATAGACCCCAAGAGGCTGCTCTGGTGTGTTTGCTTAATTAGCAGAGGATGGGAGGGGGTGATTTTGGGGGCGTGTGGTGCTTGTTTTGTTTTAAGCAGCAGCTTAAATTTAGGTCAGACACATTTAGTCTGATAGTTCAGCCTAGTTTGAACTCACTGTTACCAATACAAGAAAGTTGTATATGAGCTCCGCTCTTTGGCCCAGTGTGGTTAAAAATGGAAAAATATGATCTAATTCTATGTCAGATAGAATCTGCCTATTTAAAATTATTCTTTAAGGGTTAGTGCAGAGATTGATCTGATGGTAGTAGACTGGAATCCAGATAATGGATTTCAAGACCAGCAGTTTGAGTTGTAGTCAGTTTAACAGTGGCTACATTTTCTAGTCTCTCTCTAAGCAGCTTGAGGAACTGACATGGGTTGCCTGGCAGTAGCAGTATTCTGGTTGTGAAATCTCTTGAGAAATCTTTGCTAAAGAGAAAAGAAAACTTGTCTCGTGATCTTAAGTATGTGGCATCTTTAAATATATTATGCAAAGTTTGAGGAAAGCCAAATCTTCTGATATCTTGATTACTTTTGTTTTGTCATTTTTTCTAGTTGCAACTGTGTCTTCACCAAAAAGGAAGAAACGCAAGAAGTACAGGAGTGTTATCTCTGACATATTTGATGGGACTATAATAAGCTCAGTACAGTGCTTGACTTGTGATCGGGTGAGTAAGGAGTTGGGGATGGAAAGGAGTGTTTTTCTTGTGTGGGTGTTTTTGTTCCCATCCTACCCTCCAGTACAAATATTTTTGGCTTTAGGGATATAGGCCTTCCCTGATAATCTGTTATTTCTTGTAGCAGGTTTCCTCAGAAGATGAGGCTGTTCCATACTTGTTTACTCAGATGCTAATAGGATCTGCTCCCAGCACTTTATATGTAGACTATATGTAGCTTGCTTTCGTTCAGTTAGAAACTAACACAGAGATGAAAAATAACTTTGAGAGCCATTTTACAGCAAGGCCGAAGTAAGAAAGTTGCTCTTCAACTTTTCTTAGGCATGATTAGGTTTTAGTAATATTCTGTTTTTTTTTTTTCCTAATATATGCCTGTTACTGTGCTGAATTGTAACAAATAATGTTACAAAGAAAACTAAAAGGTAGTAGTTCAGTTCTACTTTATCACTCTTATCAGGTAAATTGAGGCTGAATTTAAAAAAAAAATTCAGCCCTTTTAAAAAGTAGTGGCCTTTGGCTGGATTTTTCCAAGTGCTACAAATCGCAAACTGGTTTCTGAAGTTCAGTCTTCTGGATGATGTGCCCTGTCACAGGAACAGTAATTTTTTGGGGCTCCTATTTGCTACTAGAGATACTTAAAATAGAACAAATGAGCATTCAGAAAGAAGAGGGGAAAAAAAAAAGTAGTATAATACATCATATGAATTTTGAAGTACATGATATCCCTTGTCCACAAACAAAGACTTCTCTATCCAATATTTGGTACTATTAATGTTTGCCTCATTGTGGTGTAGTATTTCTTGCTACTTCACTTGATTTGGAGTAAATAATGTTGAGACCCTAGGTTCAGCTGGTAAACATATGGGAAGTATTTCTTTTTTTGTTTTGCTTGACTGCTTTATCCTGTGACTGTGATCACTAAATCCAGCCTGAGAGAAATAAAATGTGCATCTGAGGGAATAGACACTCTCTGACAGCAGATCCAGTTGCATCAGGTCAAGATAATGTCAAAGTGGAATACTGTCAGAACGATAGGCTGAAGCCTTGTGAAACTAGCTTGCATAACAAGGGCCTGAGGCAAAAATCTTAGGGCTTTCTATCACTGGTAGGAAGAAAAATGATTAATAATAACATAAGAAAATAACCAAAGTTTCAGTGATGATAATGTATGAGCTCAGTTGCTTTTAAACATGTGTACGTGCTCTCATTCCCCTCAGACCTCAGGCCATGAACTCTAACATACCCTCACTGATAAGTAGTTTGAAACTGCACAACAGCCTGGTAGCTGCTGGTGAGCTTTACAGAATTCATTTTAATTACTTTCTCTCTTAATTCTTTCCTATTTCATTTGTTCCCTGCTTTAGGTGTCTGTAACCCTGGAGACCTTTCAGGATCTGTCTTTGCCTATTCCAGGTAAGGAAGATCTTGCTAAGCTCCATTCTGCAAGTCATCAGACTTCACTAGTCAAAGCAGGATCATGTGGAGAAGCATATGCACCCCAGGGATGGATAGCTTTTTTTATGGAGTATTTCAAAAGGTAAATGATTTTTGCCTTGTTTTCTTGACTTATTTCTCTAATTCCAGATTCTGCTTTTTGGCAGAACATTTGTTGTTTTTTTCTTTTCTGTCAATGATGTTTCAGGTTTGTTGTCTCATGTGTTCCTAGCTGGTTTTGGGGTCCAGTTGTAAACTTACAAGACTGTCTTGCTGCCTTTTTCGCCAGAGATGAGCTTAAGGGTAAGAGGTTAATTCATATGCTTACTTTTTAAATCACAATAAAAAGATCTTTGCTTTATATAATTAAGGAATGGCCACCTGTTAGACTCCTAACACAGTTATTCCTTGCTTACAGGATCATTCATTTTTAAAATGTTAAGTATCCAGTCAACTGAATATTGAGTCAAAAATGCCCATAAAGATTGCTTTAGAAGTGTCAAGTGAAACTGAATTCGGCTTAATGAAGTACTGACAGAAAGCTATCAATACTCCTCATATCCTTAATGAGGACATAATAAATTTTACCTTTTAAACTATGCACCACCCTCCTTTCTGAATTATGCTCTGCTGCTTCATAGTAGAAAGCATGAAACTTGGGAAAACTTTCTATTAAGTTGCATTGTCAACACTCTTATAGCAATTAAACACTGAATGAAATCTAAAGACACAAATTTTCTTGAAGTTTTTATGTAGCCGATATATAAACTTGAAGGATAATTTGGAGAATAATGTCTATTTTTCTTCTCCCCTATGTTTGCAGGTGATAACATGTACAGTTGTGGAAAGTGTAAAAAGTAAGCTGGCTTTTATCTCTGTTTCAATTTGTCTTTTCTTTTGCTCTTATTCAAGAGACATTTATTTCTTTGAAACATGTTGTAGTACCTGACAATCTTCTGACACTACCTTGTACTGTGGCTGCCATTAATAACAAAGGTTCAGGAGCAAGGAAGCATTAGCTGCCTATACTCAGGATTATAGACCAAATGTGGTTACTTCTCCCATACAATTCTGGACTATTCTAAATTCTTTTGATCAAGATAAAAGCTGTTATACTTCTAAAGTACTAGTGAGTTTTCATTAAGATGCAGTAGGCCACTTTACTGTGTACAAGTTTTGCTATGGCTTTGATAGACTAAAGAAGCAAGAAACAGTTGAGTTTTTAAAATTGCTTAAAACCCTATTTGGAAAAGGAGCATCATTTCATGCTATACAACTGATCTGTTGCATGTTTCTTAAGATAAATTTGAGTAGGGGTGTGTGTGTGGTGTTTTGCATGTGGGGGGTGTTTTTTTTTTTTGTTTTTTTTTTTTTGTTTTTTTTTTCTCCTATAAATAGTCAGCTTCTGTGAAGCTTCATTTCCTGTATGCTAGGAGAAACTGTTAACTAGATGGAACCTAATTATCTGTAGCTACTGCCTTGAATTTTTCAGCAGAACAAATTCTTCTCTGGCAAAGTGTCATTATTTGTATAGTTTGGCTACGTCATGCCCATTCTGCTTTCCACATTTACAAATTTAATACGCAGTTTAAGACTTTGTCATGTCTCTTGTTGATCTAGCACAGTGAAATAAATTATCTGTTTTGTTTTTGCTTAGGTTAAGAAATGGAGTTAAATTCTGCAAAGTCCAAAAGTTTCCTGAGGTACTGTTACTACATGCACTTTAAAACACTTTTTCTGCATGATTAGGAATGTGGTAAGGCTAATAAGTTGCACAGAGTAAATTGTGTTCATAGTGTTACGTGATGAATGCATCTACATATTGATGCGTGTTGTACAAATGTGAGTAGTATTTGATAATGTACCTTTAAGAAGATGAACAATCATAGTGAAAAGTCAAGCTGGAAGATTTTTTTCCTGTTATTGTCAGACTGCACAACTGATGCCATAACACAGGAGGACATAATGTAGTGAGGCTTAACACTTTTGACCAGTAATGTTTTGTATTTTAAAAGTAATCAAAACTTACACCTCTAAACATGAGTTGGTGGCTGCAGCAATTTGGAGGAATTACTTTTCCTTGTGACAAGAATGTGTAATAGGTGCATTGAGGAAAAGGTATGTCCTTCCTTGCTGCATTAATGGTAATAACTGTGCAGGTCAGCCTCTTGCACTGTCAATGAGTCCTTGAAGAAAATTCCTCATCGAGCCCCAATTGATTAAAAAGCTGAGGAGTACAGTGTGATCAGTCACTTCATGCAGTAGAGAAAAATGAGACTTTTGGGATGATGAAAAGATGACATATACAATATGTTTATCAAATAGCATGTACAGATCTTGAGTCCCGATCTTGTTGCTCCTTCCTGCAGATATTGTGCATTCATCTCAAAAGATTTAGACATGAACTTATGTTTTCCACGAAAATCGGGACTCACGTATCCTTTCCCCTGGAAGGACTTGATCTTCAGCCTTTCCTTGCCAAGGACAGTCCAGCCCAAATAGTGACTTATGATCTGTTATCTGTCATCTGCCATCATGGAACTGCCAGCAGTAAGTGTGAGGCTGAGGGTTTTGCATTTGCCATAGATATTAACATCAGCACTTCTGTTGAAAGATAATGTTTATGTAGTGAAGGGTAAGTAGATAAGCATTCTTAATTTTAGATGTGGTATGTTCTGGCATTTTTACCCTTAAAACCATAAGAAGAGCTGCTCTTTAAGAGTAGAGATGTCTTAAAACTTATACAGTGCTGCTAAATAAAACTGCAATCCAGAAAAATAACAGACCCTGGAATATAAAGCAAGCACAAAAATGTAACATCCCTCCTACCACCCAAGAACAACAAAAATTCCTCCAAATATTTGCTCTGTTGAAAGTAAGCAGCATGAAATAATGTTACATACCAACAGATGTTCAGTTGGTCTGCTACACTCTGTAGGTGGTGTATGCATGTCTAATGGTTGGATGCTTTGTAGGTTTTTTTTTTTTTTTTTTTGAGTTCACAAAGCACCACAAACATACCAGTATCTTAAAATAGAACAAACAAACAAAAAAATTGTGCCAGCTAATCTCAACACAGGCAGTAACTTTTATTTACACATAATGATGAGTAACTGAAGAAATTTCTTATTGATGTCTGAGACTCATTTCTGCTCAGATGCTTTTGGTATTTATAAGATCTGTTAAAGGAAGAGAAAAGTAAGTTTGAAGATGGAAGCTTGAAACTCTATAGATTTTCTTATAGAAGTTACCCCTCCCCAAACGGAGGTTCACTGCTTAGATGGATCAATGAATCAATATAGTAGGTATTTGATTATTAGATATTGTCAGTTTAATTGGTATTTAAGAAATAATAATTCCAATATATTACTACTAACACTAACAACCATTAAGTAGTCTTGAAATCCTATAGCACTTACACCACTGTGATTATCTCTGTTTTAATGCATACAGAGACATGAAGAGTTTGTTGAAACTACTTAGGGTAAATTGTTCAAGCAGCTTTAGTCTGAGTTGAGTGTTCTGTGACATGCGGTAGATGTGTAAAGTTACTCAGAGTATGATGGAAGCTCCTCCCTAGGTGATAAGAATGTGGAATTTGATCCCGAATCTGAGATAAGTTAGTATGTATACCCAAGTACTCTCTGGTAATGACTTTAAGTTTCTCCCTTTTAATACACTTTTTATATTCCTTCATGTTTTGCATAGTAAAATAAGTAGCTTGTTAACAAGTAGCTTGTTTAACTCTGGCTTCTATTGCTCTAGGTGGACATTATATAGCTTATTGTCGGAACAATTTAAATAACTTGTGGTATGAATTTGATGACCAGAGCGTCACAGAAGTATCTGAATCTACTGTGCAAAATGCAGAAGCCTATGTTCTCTTCTACAGGTAAGAGGAAATTAAAAGCACAGTTATAATTCAAGTTAGTCAAATACATTAATAACCTGTTAAGTAATTGGGCCATTTTAATTCAGCTAAGGGAAGAATTTGATGGACCAGTAACAGTGGAGAGAGACTTCAATTATGTCCTTAATGTTTTTTCTGTCACTACTAAACTGCTGGACAGATTGCCCGAGTTGCTTCTCCTCAAGCACAACAATCACTTTTCTTTTTGTAATAGACTGCGTAAGTCATTAGTGCTGTATAGCAGAAATGCTGAATGACAATAAAAGGGTGGAGAAGTGTCATATTATGAAATTTGGTTTCAGTATGTTCACTTTGTTTTACTGGGTTCTGTTGATGTAACCAGTTGAAGTGGCTTCAGTGTTCTTGAGCATGTTTAGAACTCTAGTGAAAATTCAGAAATGGGCTGGGGCTTTAATTATCTACAGTCTGCATAAAGAAAGCACAGTAAGATGCCTAGGAAGAGAACTTGAAGCAACTGTTAGAACTGGCAACTGATTTCCTCTTTTTCAATTAGAGGAAAGGAGTTCTGCACAAGGGGGGATTTTTTACCCAGACAGACTCTAACTGTTAGAGCTCTAAAGCAAATTGTAGAAACTCTTTGGCAGATGGGATGTGGAAAAACAAGGGTTTTACTGTGCTGTAATTTATCTTCAGGGAATTTATAGAGCGATCTCTTTCTGAAAGCCAAAATGAAAGGCGAGAAATTATGTTGTTACTGTCTTAGCCCTAAGGATCTTTTGTACTTGAAACAAGAAATGCAACTAAAATTGTGTTTTCTAGAAATTTTCTATTCAGTTTGAGAATTTCTTCTATTAAGATAAAGTATGCTATTAAAGGTTGACTACAAAACAGATTGTTCAGTAGTTTAAGAATGTTGTGAGAATATTCTAACTTTCAGGAGCTCTCATTTCTGCCGCTGAGTTAAGCCTGTTAGTCTGATCCAGAAGGTCGTCTTTTAAAAGTAATGTGGAGGTGGCGCTGCATTGCTCAGAGTGAATGCTGTCGTAGGTAGACATTTTAAAAGCAAAACAAAGAATAAAATAATTGGACGTATAGTCTGATTTAAGCAAAAAGAATACACACACAGTGATACACTTTCAGGACTTTATGAAAGTTTAGTAGGGACCTGCATGTTCTTTTTTTGCATTATTACAGCTTGAAAATGACCCTAATTACTTGAATTTCATTTTTAGGGTTAGGGTTTTTGTTACATTTGGTCTAAAATTAAACAGGCAAAGTATTTTCATTGAGTTTATGGCATTTGTTTTTACTACTCTTGTTGTTTTGTTGCACTGTATATTTGCTATATAGTCTTTTTTACTTATAGGCATTATGTCTAACCAAAGCTCTTCTACCCAGCTATTTGAACAAACTTTGACTTCATAAATCAGCTGATTTGTGCCAGTTAAGAGCCAAGCTCCAAATTAGGAGATTTGCAGGATGGGATCAATGGTTCAAGCCTACTTTTAGAGAACAAGATTTTATCCATACTAGGGAGTAGAGGAGTTGCAGCATCTCCTTTACTGTTCAACCTTCTGTTTGATCCTAAGGAGCATATTAAAGGACTGCAGCTGGCAAGGCTTTAACCTGAAGGAGTATGTTGCAGTACACTGCAGATGTGCAGAGGAAGTTATTAGCAGATGGGCAGGGAGTCTTATATTCCCATCCCGTGGAGGGTCATCACAGCAGAGCAGTTGCAGCCTGTGCTGCAGTCCACCTGTTTGGTTTTTCTGAAGCTGCCAGGAAGGATGAGGACTGTTGGGAGTCTCTGAATGGCTAAACTAGGCAGCAAAAGTTCAGTCTTGTAAACATGATTATATCCACAGTATGGCTTTGTCAAAACTAAGGGCAGGCATAATTTTAATGAAGCACAGTCTTCAGTGCCCTTCCCACTTCACAGGAACCTATTAGTACCAACTATTGTGTGTAATTCTGTAACATGCAACACTCTAGGATTGTCACGCGTGTGCGTAGAAGGCTTTTTTCACCTGCTAAACCAACTGTTGTACTGCTGGTAGAATTTGAAAATAGATGTGGACCAGGTAATGTACTGAAATGGCAGGCTTTACATCGAGTTCATTACCTGCCTTCTACCCAAAGATATATCTTTGTTTAATAATTTATATTCCTGTAATAGGAAGAGCAGTGAAGAAGCACAGAGAGAAAGAAGGAGGATATCAGGATTGCTGAATATGATGGAACCAAGTCTTCTTCAGTTCTATGTTTCCAGACAGTGGTTAAATAAATTTAAGACTTTTGCAGAGCCAGGACCAATTTCAAATAATGATTTTCTCTGTATGCATGGAGGTAAGAATATAACCAAGTATCATTTACTAAGAATTTATCTGTTTGTAGCTGTACAGGGATGTATACTTGTGCCGAAAGTACAAGGAATTAATGGAAATTGAATATAGTATGTCTGTTTGTTATGGCTGTCTGTCTTTGGCTTGTATGATACTCGGATTTCTCTTACTTCAGTTGTCTCCTACATTTTTTGGCATCATAAGAGACTCAACAATTTCTTAAATGCAGGTGATATGATACAATCAAAGGTTTTTGGGTGACTACTTTGAACTGGTCAGAGTTTTATGATGTAGAGACCTCTAACATAGTAGTCTCTCCCAAAATTTCTTAAAGTCCAAATGCATGTGGTGTTTTTTTTTTTTTTTCCTGCTGCTGCTTTTGCAGGTGTTCCTCCCCCCAAGGCAAGTTTCATAGAAGACCTGGTGGTAATGCTGCCTCAAAATATATGGGATAATCTGTATAGCAGGTAAGTTTCATGTAACTGAAAAAAGTCTTATGATGGAATTTGAGAGCAGATGTGTGCCAAGCAGTGATTTCAGACTTGTGGGATTAGGATCTTAAATTTTTCAAAGTGAAGATTTATATAATTTGCTTGTGCACAGTAACACTGAATAAAAGCCTGCATGAACAGTAGTGTATTACTGGAGTGATAGTCAAGAACTAAATCAATAAACGTTGTTTAGGGTCTGCACAAAACAACACAAAGTGGGTCAGCAAAAGTACGCTTTGCAAGAGGCAGTTTGAAAGAGCTCTCTGTGTCAGCTTCCTGTTCCCTTGCTGGCTAGAGACAGCTTTCTTTTTTTTTTTTTTTTTTTCTCTCTCTCCATGTTGGCTCTGAATCCATAGCCTCAGCTGCCCATAGTGCTTCAAAATAGCTTAGATATAAGGCTGCTGTATAACTACTCCACACTTCCCTATGGGTCAGGCTTAAGTGCTTGCTTTTGTGGGAGGGATTCTTATAAAAATTCATCTTTTAAAGTAACAAAAAAGCAGCAGAAGAGCCTAGCTGTTGACCTTAAGGATTCTGTATTACACTTATAGCCACTACTTTTGTCTCTTTAATTCCCAGGCACCTATATATTTATATATATATTTTTTTTTTCTTTCTC